CCCCCCCAAAAAAATGAGACCAAAACTTGAATTTTTCTCAGCACCAATAGCCTAAAGGCTGTCTGTTCAAAATTGTGACAAATTTTATCTCAATATTTTTCTTGAACTGTTTTCAGATATCGGGCATTGAACTGTCCTGTTTCACTGAAGTGACCCAAATGGCTATGTTTTGAAAGAAAGCAACATTTATCCACATTTTTCTACTGTTTTATGGATGTTGAATGTTGGGTCATCAATCATTGTCTACTGCAGAGCAAGCTCTCTGGAGGACTACACTCCCCACAATTCAATACAAACGCAACTTTGTGGAAGTTGTACTATTCTAAGATGTGAAGCCCCTAGTGGAGTATGGATACCCAGACTACAAGCCCCATACGTAATGTGTTTGGAAAATGAAAGTTCATACAAAATTAAATATTTGGGGTCAGCTGAATAAAAGAAAATAAAGTGTACGTAAGTTAAACTGCAGGTAAACAACAAGTCAGGTTTCAGTTATTTTATTGCGACTTTCATCATGAATGATCAAAATAGACCCTCCTTCAAAATTTTGTTTTCATATTCTTTTCCTCTCTCTTACGTTTTCTTACTAATGTCAAGGAAAAGACTGACTTCCAGTTAAACTGACCTCAAACAAAGAATATTTTATATTTTCCTTCAAGAAAACGAAAACTTTTCAGCAAGATAGAATTTTTTAATTCGATTTGCAAGAATGGTATTTTCTGGAAAAAAAAAAAAAGAAAGAAAGATTTTCTGAAGGAAAATTACTAACTGACTGCTAACTGCAGCTCTGCAAAGAAAACTGGAAGGTAATAAAACTGACATCTCTGACAAGTCTCTTGCTTGATAATAATACCAAAGAGAAGGGGTTTTGTAACAAGGCATGAAATTTGTTATATAAAAGAAAAATCATTATTTGTTTTAACTAGTACCTCAAACACTGTGGGATACATAGCAGAACATAAAGATGATACATCACAGATACAGATAAACTGCCCAGGAAAGAGTACCAAAAACCCAAGAGCAGAAACCCAAAACAGCTTAAGGGGTTTTAAAGTGTCTATCTTTGGATTCAAAATGGCTAGAATACTGAATTCTCTTTGGTTTGCTATCTAGAGAAAGACTAGGAAACTGATCATTTTCATAAATGCTCTATTAAAACATACTGATATAAAGTGTACATAAGTTAAACTAGGTAAACAACAAGTCAGGTTGCAGTTATTTTACTGTGATTTTCATCATGAATGATCAAAAATAGGCCCTCCTTCAAAATTTTGTTTTCATATTCTTTTCCTCTCTCTCATGCTTTCTTACTAATGTCAAGGAAAAGACCTACTTTACTACATTTTTTCTTACTGTACTTGTTTGGCTTAGTTTTGATACTTTACTGTGGCAAAACTGAGCTCTATTCTACACGAAATGGATCTCCTGAATATGCCATTTTATGTTTTATTTAGACGGAGGATCATGAGAGTATAGTGGTTCATACTGCACCCTTGGAGCCTATTGGACTTCTGTTCCTGATTTCAAGCACATCTGAACTTAAATAAGCAGGTGTGTAAGAACTCTGAGACATTCCAATAACATATTATATTTAATTAACATATATATGGTGGGTATTTTATATTACAACATAAGATTAGCAGTTTTTCAAGCCAAGCATGTATGGCAGTGAAGGAAGTCGAGATTGAATTAAGTAACCAACATACTCATGCTGTAGTTTAGAACAACAACAGAATTATACTGAAATTGCTATTGCTATGTTACCATATGCAGAAAAGACAGGCTGTGAAAATCCAGCACTACCTCAGGGGAGAAGAATGAGGATTGCCAAAATTCATTTATAATTTTTATTTGCAAAAGGATCTCTTTGTTTCCTAGTTTTGATTAAACTTTATTTCTGTTCTTTATGAAGATGAATGGGCAGAGAAAGGAAAGGGACAATGTTAGTCATGGTTGACCTGCTTGGGAATTTGAGTTGATTTGATTTGGAGAAGCAAAACTCAAAGGACTGAATGCTTATTTGTAGTTTCTAAGAGCAATAACCCAAACTGTTGATGCCTCCCACTTCCTTCATCCTCACATCCTCCCTACTATTCTCTCCCCTTAACTTTTATCTGAGTTGGTAGCAGAATCTACTTTCCCTTCTCCAACAGCAGCATCATTTAGTAGAGCTCACTCTGTTATACAAGTCTTCTCAAAAGTTCCTTCTCAGACCTGCTTTATACCCCAAAGATTTAGTAGCAGCAGCAGGAGCAAAAGTTTTCTAGAGAAGACTTTGTATTCTACCTGCCAACAACAACGATACTAGTGGAGCCATTTCTACTGAAGAGTCTGTGCTGTCTGGAGCTCTCATGTAGGATTTGAAGCTTTCCAGGTGCTAGGAGTCATTGATGGGGAACCACGGCCTGTAGCAACAACACAGACAAGTACCAAAAAAGGGAAGAGGAGGGAAACTTACTTCAGAGGAAGAATCACAGAACATGTCTGGTTTTGCTTCATGGCAGGGACAAACACTTGGGTCAATTCCAGAAGTAAAAAGCAGCTTTTTCATCAAAAAATATTATAAATAGAAGGAAGAAAAATATAGAGGAGCCAATACCTGTTCTTTTTAGTGAACATCTTTTTTTTTTTTTGTATTTTTAGACTGATCCCTGAGTCTTTTTCCAAACAAACCAGGTTTATTAATCTGAAACTAATCTTAATTATTGTCAAATGTTCATCTTTCATTGCTGGTGTTCTTCTTGGAATTCCTTCCAGTTTCTTTATGTCCCTTTTAAAGTGTGGTGCCTGGCAATGAAAGCAATGTCTCAGTAGAGACCCTGCCAGCACAGAATGGGTTGCTTGCCCCATCTGTGATATCCCTGTTAATACCGCTCAGAATACATATAGTCTTATTTACATGATTGCACATGATCACATGGCTGACTCCTTTATAAAGTAAGATGAACAAATTTTCTTCTACACCACTGAGAAACACAGTCAGATCCATCAGTAGGAGACCAGAAGAAGAGCTGCATTCTTACATTTCTGAAGGTGTGTTTTTTTCTGTTTCTTCTTTCTTAACCCTCTCGGCACAGGCAGCCTGTAGAGGTAAGATGATGCAGGCAGACTTTGATCGGTTGTATTTCACACATGGTTCTTTTTCTGGATCCCTCACTGAGAGACAAGGAAAACACAGACTCTAATGAAATTTTTTTTTCCAGTTGTCAATCAACACAGAAATATTTAAAGCTAAGTTTAAATTATGACTTGTTTGCTGGGCTGAACTCAGTTAAAAAGATCACCTTTTAGTTACAAAAACAATTAGCAGTCAAGCAACACTGTTTTGATAGAAGGAAAAATAATATAATCTGAACCCTGCTTTGAATTTTGAAATATGTTATTGAGTCAGGGATCAAATACAGTAATTCTTTTGTCAGTCCCCACTGGTAACCATTGCATGCTTAGTCAGAATGTTATAAGGCAAATAATTCATGCCAAAGAACATTTTTTTTTATAACTTGTTAAAGAAACAGCTGTACTGTACTGGTCTCATGGCAGAAGAACATTTCATTTTGGGATGCCCCCAAAACAAGCAGTTAGATGTACATGTCCTCCAGTACATCTAAGTGGGCATGTCAAAGAACAAACAGCTAATGGCTTGGATGGATTCCACGCTCCATTGTATGTCCTCAATCTGTCATGCGTACACTTGCCTCAGGTCACACTGACTCAACGGCAAAGACTGTAACAGAATCCGGGGATTCTGATTCCTCTCTCTCTGCTTTAACCACTACATGACATCCGTGCTTTGCTGGGGAGCAATGTGGCTTAAATAACTAAATTAAAAGATTAAAGTGCCTACAGCGTATCTTAAAAGCTCTTTATGATGTTGTTATGGACTCCTACAGCTGCATTCCTTCTACCTACTCTTGCAACATCCTAGAACATGGTAGCAATGCATCTGGCTACAAATAGGTGACTACTAAGTCCTGAGCTTGTTTTAATAAATGGTATTTGCTTCAAAAGTTTAAATAAAGAAGAACGAATCACAGGGGAAATAAAGAAGCAAAAAACTAAGAGAAATATCCTTATTTCGCTAATATTCCTTCATATATTTGGTACAATACACACTTAGTGCAGAAACACTCTATATTTAAAAACAAAAGCCATCCTCTCTGCTGAACACACACATCACTCCAGAAGAAGTAATAGCTTAAGGATTAACAAATGCTGAATTTTCCCACTGTAACACATTGGCAGAAAAAATCCTGCGAAATAATGTTGTGCTAAGTATTGCAAAAACTCACAGTGCTCAATATCTTACACAGGGTGTCTCTAGTAGACTTAGAGACTGTACCTTGAGTTCTGGTTCAAAGCATAAAACAATACTGCTTCTCTGCATGTTGAGGGATTTCTTTTACACCTTCTCCAGAAACAACAAGCCTGAGTTTCTTTATATAGAATGTAGATTCGTTTGATTCTTCATTAATATTAAACATTTTGAATGTGAAAAGTAAGCTTTTAGCTACCTCATAACTGATGATATGCTTCAGAGAACACATCAAGTTTTGAGCCTTGGATCCTTCCATGTTTGCTGTTTTGTTATAGGTGGCTTAAGAGGGCATTTTTGACATTCAGCAAACAATAAACAATATAGGCCCTAATTCAGAAAAGCACTTAAAAATGTGTTTAACTGTCTATATGTAAGTCCCATTGCCTTCAATAGGCTGTAAACCTATGTTTTAAGCAAAACACATGGGTAAGTGCTTTCCTGAACAGGACTGGTTTCCTGAATCAGGAGGATAAGTATTTTTTTTTTTTTAATAATTTGTGCAGGAAGAAAGCTGCAGGGCTGATATAGTCAGCTCCACAGTTGCTGGGGATTTTAACTCAAGTTTTTGTGTGGTGCACAACAAACAGAACCAAGGAGTTGATACTTCCCCTCTATCGGGTGCTGGTCAGACCACAGTTGCAATACTGCATGCAGTTTTGGGCACCACACTTCAAGAGGGATGTGGATAACCTGGAGAGGGTCCAGAGAAGGGCCACTCATATGGTTAAGGGCTTGCAGGCCAAGCCCTACGAGGGGAGACCTCGAGAAACTGGACCTCTTCAGCCTCCGCAAGAGAAGGTTGAGAGGCGACCTTGTGGCTGCCTATAAGTTCATCACGGGAGCACAGAAGGGAATTGGTGAGGTTTTATTCACCAAGGTGCCCCCGGGGGTTACAAGAAATAATGGCCACAAGCTAGCAGACAGCAGATTTAGACTGGACATTAGGAGGAACTTCTTCACAGTTAGAGTGGCCAAAATCTGGAATGGGCTCCCAAGGGAGGTGGTGCTCTCCCCTACCCTGGGGGTCTTCAAGAGGAGGTTAGATAGGCATCTGGCTGCGGTCACCTGAACCCAGCACTTTTTCCTGCCTATGCAGGGGGTCGGACTCGATGATCTACTGAGGTCCCTTCCGACCCTAACATCTACGAATCTATGAATTGTTCCTACTGAACTGTAGTTACCATGTTGTTTACCACTGGGAGGGTCTGCACGTACATTTACATCACATTAAAGTTACTGCACAGTAAGCAGGAATAAGGCCGGCATCTACACACGTAGGCAACTGGAACTAGATTTAATCCCAAGTCAGAGCAACCTGTCATGTGCCCAACCAGCACTTGGCAGCCATGTTGAGGCCAGAGGCAGTTGCCAGCACTTGGCAGCCATCTTAAACGCACACCCCTGCCCAGCCCTCCCCTACGCGGAAGCTGTGTGCCCAGCACAGGGGCAGCATGTGGCAGCGCCCTCCCTGCCTCCCCGCACCATGGCTGCTCTAGCTCCTGCCCCTACCCCTGCCAGCAGCACCCAGTGCCCCACTGCTCCAGCCCGGCCCCTGCCACCAGGCCCCGCTGCCCAGGCCCCAGCCAGGCCCACACACCCACCTGCTGGAGCCACACACCCACCAGCCAGACCCAGGGCACCGGCTGCAGGAGGCTCTGGCTGACCCCATTCTCCTGCACTCCCCACTCCAACCCACCTGCCCCGCTGCCCACAAACCCCTAACCTCCTGGCTACCCCCAGCACCACTCCAAGACACACCTGTAGAAGAAAGTGTACAAACTTTATAATAGAACAAAACCCCCATCCTTCCTCCCTCCCCACCACACACAGTGCCCCTCCACCACCCTCCCCACCCACCAATAATAAAAACCCTATTCCCCAAACATCACAGACACTTCATGTGTCTGACCCCAGCCCTGAGTCCATCTGTAAGGGGATGGAGGGTGGGGCCACTCAGTGTGGAGAGCCTGGTGGCAGGTGGCCAGCACCCCAGCTGCATCCAGTTCCCCGTGGTACAGGGGCTGTGGCATAGGGCAGGGATGCCTGCAGCTGGCAGGCACTGCAGGACCTGTTCCAGGGTGCTGCTGGGGGCTAGCTGAGAGGCAGTGGCTGGGACCCAGGAGCCCTGCAGAGCCAGGGTGGGTGGCCAGGCATGGTGGGGTATGGGCACAGCCTCCTCTGGGCAACCATCTGCTGTTCTAGCAGCTCCATGCATTACTGTTCCAGGGCCAGAAAGTCTGTCCAGTGGGCACAGCATGCCCAGAGCTGCACCTCCTTCCGGGCAAGGTCCTCCACCATGCCCACTTGTCTACCCCCAGCCCTCCACTGGGACTATCAGCCACCGGAGCATGCAGGTCCCATCCTGGCTGTGCTGCTGGTACCTCTGGGCGGCACCAGCAATGGGTGGCAGCAAGCCTGAGATGGTGGTCCTGTGGGCTCCTGCAGCCTCTCCCCTGTGTGCAGATCTTAGCCCTGCAGAAGCAAGAGACAGAAGGCTCCTGTGAGAGTTTACAGCATTTGAGAGATAAGATGATCTGCTCCATAAGCCCTGCACTGCCTGATCTCGGATTGGAGGTCAACCACAGGTGGGTGTCCAGGGACCATGGTAACCTGGCTGGGCAGACCTGGGCCCAGGTGGGTGCTGCCCAAGCCCCCCATCCCCAGGGGCTGGCCTCAAGCTACCTGCCTCCCCTTTCCCCTTTTCAGGCCACACCAGGCCAAGCTTCTGGCAGCACTTGCTGCCATGGCTCCAGCCACCACTGAAGCCACCCCCCACCCTTGCAGGCCCACTGCTCTGCTGTACTACCACCCAGCCCTTGGTGCCCAGGCTCAGGGTGCATGGGACTCCCAGACAACTGGGGTATGGGGCTGGACATGCCCCCTCCCTCCCTGCTGAGGGCTTCTTTGGGGAGGCACCCTAAGGCTGCCCCCCCACCATGCCACCACTGCACTCCAAACATGCCCTTGCTGCACATGCCATGGGCGGTGCACAATGGGCTGTTTGTGCAGGTAGAGGGCTCCCCAGGCCACTACACCCTGCTGCTGCTGATCCTGCTGGTGCCGTGGGCACACCTGTACTCCTGGATTGGGACCCTGAGCTACAACAGTGCAGAGGGAAAACCTGGCCTGCCCCAGAACCTCTGCCACTGCCTGGAGGGCTATCTGTTGCAGCACTACACATTACTGACACCAGCTGCCAAGGAGGAGATCACCACTGGGATCAACGCCTTCCTTGGTGCATGAGGCCCATACCCTTCCAGCCACGTGGACACAGACTGATCAGTAAAGGTCTGATCTGTGTCTCACATCTCTGCATGCTTGCGGGGGGGAACCTGGGGCCAGAGGAGTGTGAGTAGACCAGACAAGTGTGGGGGGGCAGGGCTGGGGCTGCAGCCAGGAGTGGGGACTTGGAGGGCCCACCCTGCAGTGACAGACTTACCATATGTCCAGAGCCAGAGAGGCTGGTGGCTCAACATGGGACTCCCTGTGCCAGGTGGCATCTGGCTCCACCCAGTGTCCATGGCTTCCGGTGGGCTGGGAGCTGGTGCCTGGCCAGGGATGCCCCCCCACAGGTAGAAGCTGGTGCTGCTGATAGCTGGTGGTGCTGTGGCCAGCTGCAGGGCAAGCCCAAGGCTTAGGCAACCACTGGCAAGGTTTCACCGGACTGCCAGTGGGTGCAGCAGCTTGGGAGGAGTGCAGGGCAGGGCGCTGAAAGCCTAAGGACCCCTCCTCCAGTGACATGTCACCAGAGGTGTCAGGGTGGGGCATGCGTGTGGGCTCCCAAGGCACCAGAATGCAGGTCAGCTCCCACATGAAGGGCATGGTCCTGGGGCCCCCACCAGACCGATGATTGTGCCCAGTTACAGCCCCGCACTGGGCCCACAGGTCCTTAACTTTACCATGCCAACTGGGAGTGGCCCAGCACAGGCATCTCAATTGCCAAGGCCTCATAAATGTGGGCATTCAAGTGCCCACCCTGGGTGAACTGCCTCAGGACATCCTCCTCGCCCCATAGCGCCACAAGAATGCACACCTCCTCCTGGGTCCAGTTGGCACCCTTGGGGCTCTAGACAGGTAGGCACACACAGATGGGGCCAGGGCTGGACACAAGGGAGGAGGAGGATGTCATGCCCTGCATCAGCTGAAGGGCCCCCGTGTGGCTGACCCTGTGAAACTGGCCCTGGAGGGGTGGAAGCAGCAACCTTGACAGGGGCATGGCCGGGGGGTCACAGCCACGTTGCTAAGGCACTTCACCATGGTCCTGCAAAGAGAGAGGCAGGGGGTAAGCAGCAGTGGGGAGCAGGTGCTGGCCCTGGTGGTACAGCCAGCAGGGCCAGCAGCCCTGGGGGAATCACAGGGCTAGAGAAAGGGTGCAGCAAATTGCAGCCCTTTGCAGCACTCACCTGTGGCCAGGCAGCAGCTCTCAAGCAGGACAAATCCAGCAAACATAGCCTGCAGACTGTCCTGGGGGGCACATGGAGCCTGCTGGAGTGCTGCAGCTGCAAGCTCCCGTGTTACTGCGCAGTAACACATCTACACATGTGTTACTGCACAGTAACTAATTGGATGTAAATTTGAAATCTGCATGATGCATGTATCAAATTTACTCCCATGTCGGCATAAGTTGCCATAGTTACTGTGCAGTAATTTAGGTTACTGCACTGTAAGTGTGCACAGGTAAATGCACCCATTGTTACTGATCAGTTAACTTGAGTGACACTGGATACATCTAACTTGGAGCACAGCCATTTCTACATTCAGTGTAAATGTGTTGTTAACATTCTACAGGTGAGGAGGTGACTGTATTGTGTTGATGGATGTGATGATGATTCTTTGAAAGCTGTGTGTAGGAAATGAGGCCTCTGACAGCCATTCGGTTTAAGGCCTGTTGGGATCTAAGCTGCAATCCCAACAATTGTGCCTCCTGACACACCACATGTGCATGACAGGACATGCAGTTTTGGGATTGGGGATTAAATGCCTATCATGCCTTTCTTTTCAGTGTAGGATCATGATCCCAGGATCCCCCTGCACCAGCAAGTTGAAACCAGGTACTGACAAAATCAGCTGATTGTCACTTGGGGCTGTGGACTGAAAGGGGATCTGAAACTGGCTCCAGTCAGGTCCCCATTCCCAGCAAACAATCAGCTGATTGTCAAAACTCTGGCTGGCTTTTTTACAAGTCTCAGCACATAGGGACTCATGGATCAGACTGCCGCAGCCTGATCTTGGAGTCCCTGAGCCTAGGGCAGAGTTAATACCTGCCGCCCCCTCCCCATACCATCCAGCTGGGTGGCACATGGGGTTTTAAAAGTCCTGGAGCATGGAGACCCTGGGATCAAGCTGCGAGGACAGCTGTGTCCTGGACCCTGGGGCTGCATCATGCTGAACCATGACACTCACCTGAGTTGGCCATGGGTTATGATGAGCCGCCATCAACAGGCGACATACTCAGTTTAAGACATGACAGAAAAGAGCCAGAAAGTTGTTACATATTATATGGAATAACATTGTGGTTCATTTACTGGATTATCATGCTTTAAATTAACTTTAACATGTGGCTCGGTTACTATTTAGGCATAATTAACCTGTTGTAAAGGAGTTCATCCAGAAAGTTATGAGAGCTACAGGACTGGATGCTGATATATCCCAACTGATAAAGAGGCACCTGTCTTGCTACCTTACTAGCTAGCTATGTATGATAAAGGAGCCGGTCAGAGTGATATGCAGGTATAATGAAAGTACTAGAACACAGCATGAAAAACAAACAAATGGATGGAAGGCATTGGCCCAAACAGAGATATTTACTAAGATGGCCATAATAGAAAGATAACTGTTTCCACTGCTAAAACAAGGAATAGAAATTATGGGTACTCTTAAGGGGAGATGTGCACATATGACTCATTAACATTAATGTAAATTACATCAGGATGGGCACATCTACATATGTAATTATTGCACCAGAGTTTACTGCTCCCAGGTGTTGCGTCTTCACTTGCACCCAGGACCGGCTGGCAGAGGGCCCAGGGAGTCAGCCTGCTAGCCCAGGGCTGCTACACAGGTCGTGGTTCAGAGGAAATTTCATGTGTTTGAAATCTGGTTTCCAAACTGAACTCACAACTAGAAATTTCCAGTTTCCCACCAACTGGAGGTTGCCCCAGCTGCTCAGTGGAATTGATACTTTTGTCAGCTTTATGCCTGATGACATCAGTGACCTTGGCAAAAATACCAGTTTCACTGACCAACTTCAGGGGCTTCCCAAAATCTATGGCTCCTAGGCAGTCCTGTCATACAGATTGGTCCAGAACCACAGACCCTGGAAACCCAGACCACAAGTCCAAACCTTCCAGGCTCGCAGACTCTAAGTCCTGGCCTCTATGCAGGAAGTGTCAAAGGAGCCAAGCCCTGACTGGACCCAAGGTTCCCTAGCATACCAGGATTCCCATCCCTGGGGCATTCCACCTGGTAGTCCCAGACCTGGGGTTCCACTAGGTGGACTAGGTTATAAAAAGGATATTCATTGTACAGTGCCAGAGAAGGCCAAGGACAACACTGGATGAAAGAAGAATAGAGGGTGACTACAGCTTTGCTCACATAGATTGGTTAAATGTCACAGGGTTAAAAAAGCCATGCCTTCTTCCTTATCATGTTCATTAACTGACATTTAAGTGCCTGAGAATCCAAGAACTGGATGCCTTATTTTGGTGCCGCCATTTACAACTTTGATCACAGCAACTTCCCAAAGTCTCTATGTTATTCTCATATAAATCATCAGAACATGCCTCTGTTTATCAACACATCTTCTATCAATGCAGAATGTAGAAAAGATCACAAGCTCACTCCTCTTCCAAACACTTTGCCCTACAATGGAGGGGTAATGCAAACAGCAGTGTGAACTACCTGACCACGAAGTACGAATAAGTGGCAGCAAACCTTAAATCCTTGCCTTGACTATGGACATCCAAGACAGCAAAGAAACATCTCCGTCATCAATCACCTCCTTTATAACATACAGACAGTTGGAAATTAGACAGCTGGTGTCTGTTTTAGCTAGCAGTACTTTGTTGAGACTGCATATTTTATTTTCCAATCTATGATATGTTAGGGCTATATTTATAGCCTCCACTTCTGTTTGTACATGCTACAGACTGTGAGCATGGTCACAACGTACACGTGCAAAACCTGCACTGGCACATAAACAGGGGAAGCTGACTGACTACAGCCTCAGTTTCATGTGCAAATAGTTGTGTGTGTAAAGCAGGTATTCATCCAGCAAAGAGTGGTCTAGTGAATCCAGGCGATTCAGGGAGATTTTCCCTGTTATCTTCCTTACTAAACCGTGGGGGTTGGGGGGAGGGGTGGAAATCAGCCTCATCACTCATGAGATTTTCAACTTACCAGTTAAGGACCGGCACAGTTTATATTTTGAGCTAGAGTCGTCATGTCCTGAATAGGAGTCGTCCTTCTGTGATTAAGAAATAACATGCTTTAATATTTTTTTTAATATTGTACATCCATTAATGGCATTTGTGTTTTATAAACAAACCAGTTACAGTCCCTATGGACTCAGTTTCCATTTGTTTAATTTTTCTGGGAATATACAAGAAAAACAAAATGAAATGCTTCTAAAGTTTCATAAGAGCAAGGGTAGTTTTTGGTGAATGTTTACTGACAATTGTTTCATAAGGAATAAACTATCAGGAAAGGATTCAGGGCAGAAATGAGAAGGACTCAGCTATGACTGAACAGAAACAGTGACAGGCCAGGTACATTTATTCCCTGGCTTTATGCCAGATAGCCAGTGGAAGGCTTGTGAGGGAGAGAGCTCATGCTAATGAGTGCTTGGTCCTTTTTGCTTTACAACTAATCTTCATTCTTCATGCATTTCTGGTAGCACAATGCAGCCTGAATTGTTTGGTATTTTTTTAAACAGGGAATAAGTCCCTTATGTAGCTGCGATTTGGCATCTAGGCCCAGAAGCCAAGGCTGCCAAATCACTTTGGACACCTCCCAGCCCAGTTTTCTGTTTTGTTTTGTTCCTTTTTTTCCCTTAACCAGGGACCCGATGCCCTCAATCCACTGCTTGCCGTGCAATTGACAATTTTAATAACAATGGTTTCCGGGTTGAACAGCAGTGGCCTAGCTCCCTGGAAAGGCATCCCCAAAGCATTCAGCGACTCTCAGAGCATGCTCCATGGAGTACTCTGACATAATTACTACAGGCAGTATGTCATTTATCCCCATGGCTTACAGACAGCTCCAAAGGAGCCACTTAAGATGGGGAGGGGCATGCGTGTGTGTTGGCAGCAGAAGGAGAAGGCTGAGTGCTACGTTCCTTGGCTGCACAGGCAAGAATTTCTGGGTGCTGAATAGTAATTGTTTCTTGCACTGATGCTCTGACAGGACCAGGTCTGAGTTTGTGTGTTAGGCTGGATAGTCAGCCTGCATGGCAAGAATACCAGCATATGCCCAGTACTAGGCTTCGTGATACCTATCCACAGCAATCAAAAGTAGAAACCTAATCCCTGAATTGTCAGCACATTTCTCACTCCATGGTGGAGAAAACGAAGACCCCAAACTGAACTCTTCAGAGAAAACAGATGGTCTCAGGGTCAGGGCTCTAGAACAATAATGACAGCCTGTTTTGACCTCTTACCTAAAACAACCCATATTATGAAAAAGAATTTTATACTGATAAAGAATAGCACTTCTGTTTCAGGGCTGTAGCAGGACCCTCAACACTTGGGTCCTAGCAGGCAATAGCTGGTGGATCCACATACCCCAAGAGTCCCAAACTTTCTCTCTGCTTCTCACCTGATACTATGGAAAAGCAACACCACCATGGGACTCTGCAACTGACCTGATCTAAGCAGCACAGCATGAAATTCAGATAGTATAGAATCATCCAAATCCCCAAAGAAATATCACATAACTTAGAATAAATGAAAAATGCAAGAAAAATGCTATACACACTGACAATCCATGAGCAGAAAAAGATGTGAACTGAATGGATCAAATATATTTTTCTTTTTGAATTATTCATTTAACTCTAAACATAAAACTTATTGAGGGTATTGGAATAGCTTTTCTCTAGCAAACTGAAAATGGAAGATGACATCCACATTTCACTGGTGTTGAAAGTGTTAGAGCAGTGATTCTCAACCAGGTGCCACAGCAGCCTGGGGTACCCCAGGATCCTTGTAGGGGTGACTTGCAATACTACGTGTGCAAACACCTACATGTGACTCCAAAGATAAACCCAAAGGCTGTATCCCCATGGGTGTGGACGTTTGTTTCCCCAGGGACAACTAGCAGCAGGACACCATGTGCCACTGCTAGTTGTCCCCAGGGAATGCCTGTGCCACACGCCCTCTGGTGCACAGCAGGTTACCCCAGGTGAGGTAGGGGAGAACTGGGCTGGCCCCAGCAGCTTTAGCTGGGCTACTGGGGTCCTCTTGGGGTTGTAGCAGCAGCCATCTTGGCCAGCAGCTGGAGTGTGGCTCTAGACAGCCAGACTAGTTTTGAGCCACACATGCTGCCCCCACGTGCACTCCTCCACTTTTTTGGGGGGGGGCATGGTTTTCTTCACCCTTGGATATCCAGAGGTCAAAAAAAACCCTGCGCCGCTCCCTTGCAGGGTGGAGAACAGCATGGCCATGATCATTGGGATATGGCCAAAGATTTCAAATAGGATCCCATAGCATCAAAACATTCTGGTGTGTTGTGATCTTTCTGAGTTCTTTGCTACAGAAGAATTACTCTGCTATTTTCCATAGTCAAGAAATGAGTAAAGCTAAGAACAGGCATTCTCTGAGGGGGGTCTTGAGTCTATCAAGGGGTGCTTTGAGTCTAACAAAGGGTGCCTTGGGTCTAAAACAGTTGAGAACCACTGTGTTAACAGTATCCCCTTACATCTAAGTCCTATCTCCATCTTAATTCTTAAGATTCTTCTTAACAGTTACAGAGTTTATGAAACACAGAAGTTTGTTTCATGCTTCTTTTATTTCAGTTTTGGTTTGTGAATATAATTGTAATGGTTCCATCTTGTGGTGAAATGCAGAATAGACTACTGCAAGGAACAAGATGGTGATGTTTCTCTAGTTTCATGATCTGTGATATGCCTCAGATAAATCCTGAGAGTCACATTTTTCCCTTGGGGGCATGTAAAGTGGCATTTGTGAATTTGTCTGCATTTAGCTCTCAACAGTTTCTAGCTAGAGTTCTGGATTTTTTTTTTTAATTATAAAGCCTTTTTTGTATGATTATGGAACATGTGTACCAAGTTGGCATAAAACTAAGTCTAAATGGCATATTTTAAAATCTTGGGTATAAAATGTAAAACTAGTTCACTGGTCTTAAGGGTCAAAAACCAATTTTTTTATCAAAGTGTTTTTCTCTTTAATTGAAACAATAAAATCATCCTTAATATTTCAAATGTTCTAATTCGTTGGTTCCTATTATGAGACAGCAACCTTCTAAGACTTAATTTTGGACTTTCAAGTAATTGCATTGAGACTTTGTTAGAACACATACAAAGCAATAGTCTTCCTATCTGTAGTAAAATATGACAAATAAAGCAGCAGTTGCCCACAGGTAAGTACTTCCATTGGCTGCAAAGAGATTTCTTGCATGTATTACATTACTCATATGTACATTTCTGTGATTCAACAGGCGTATCTACATGTGTGCTTTAATCTGCAGTAGCCTATTTTACTGCGCATTAATGTGTCATGTAAAAAACTGTGCAGTTATATTAATAAACAGTAAAATAGGCTACTGCGCATTAAGCGTTACTTAAAAACTATGCACATTCAATACTGTGCGTTAAGGCAGTCTAATGTGCATTCCTTTAGTACCTCACATTGGAGGTACTAAATTTAATGTGCATTAGAAAAAGTGCCTGAATGCATATGTAGACGTGCCCAGTGTTTCCAGGATCAGGATCTAAATACTTCCATTTGCTTCAGCTAGAGTAAAAAAAAGAGTGGTTAGTACCAACACATGGTAAGTGACAGTCACTGTAAGCTTAAAATTAACGTTGTGTTCAGCTTTGTAATGCCAACAACACAATACAAAGATCGATGCTGCAGTGCATGGTCTATAATGATGTATGCTACTTATTGGAGATCCTTTTGCAAAGATCCTGTGGCAGAATCAGGATCATGTGATTGTGTCTGCGGGTGACTACTTGTGTCACAAGTCTGAAAGATGAATGCAAGTAGTACACTCACATCATTTTTTTTTTTACAAGCCATTGCAAATACTGTACAACTGTTCTGGCTTTTGCTTCTCCCACTAAATACCCTGGCAGTGTCCAGTCACCTTAAAAGTCCATTACCATTAATCAGAAAAAAAAGCCTGAGCCTCAACATTTGAAGTTTATACCATATGCCCTGAAATACCTAACAGAAAGAACAGAGGATGTCAATGATGAAGTGAAAGAGTTAAGAGTTGAATGCCCTTATTTATCGTATATAATCTTGCTCACAAAATTAGCATTAGCTCAATGTATTTCTTTTAAAATTTAATTATACCAAATGTTCTACAAGAACATGCCAGGTTCTCTTCTATCTATTTTGAATTATAAGTATCAATCAGCATGTAAATGATCAAATTATATCATTGCAGTTGTTTGCTAAAACACCTTCCTGCGAATGAAGGACTAGAAGTAGAAGCATTTGGTATATTACTTCAGATCTCGGTAGGCTCATCAATGACTGGAATTTCAGAAAAGAAGTCAGAGTGAAATAAAAGCCTCTGGCTGTGTAGAGGTTCTTTTCCTAGCAGGGAAAAATCTCTATCTAAATAAAGAAACATTAATCATTTATTTTAAAATGTTACGCTATGTTCCTCCTGCTTTTATTATATGCATTAAAGGCTATGTTTTGCCCTTGGAGTCCTTGCTCCAACTCAGCAAAATATTTAAGCATGTGCTTAATTCCTACTGAAGTCAATGAGGTTTAAAAACATGCTTAATTTCCTCACTCAGTTTATGTGAACTACCATAAATGGGTTTTGGAAGCTAAATAAGATGGGTCATTCCTACTGCCATTAGAATCATTTAAATGTAGGCTAAAAGAAACCTCAAGAGATCGTCTAGTAGTTCATTCCCTGTATCAAGATAGGATTAAATATACCTGGACCATCTCAGATAGCTATTTGTCTAAATCATTTAATTGGCTTCCATGGAAGTTATGGACTATGCTCCACTCTTTGTGAATATGTGCTTGCATTGAATCTTGAATTGTAGTTACCTTTCATGCTCAGTAATGAATAGTTACAGTAAAATATTTTGTCTATTTCTTTTCTGATACACAACATGAAGGGTTGTGGGGTTATGCCAGTGGTAGATGTGGCCCTGAAGTGGGCATCTTACAAATTAGATATGCAACATTTTTTATTTTTTCATTTCTTCAGGGTTTCCAAAACTGTAGCTAGCTTAAGAAATGACAAAATTCTGACAGAAATAACAAGTTCACAAAAATCGTTCTGTCCTTTTGAAGGAACTGGAGGGTGGGGTGGTTTTACAATCCATCTGTGCTTGTAACAACTTGTGTACCAAAGGTTCTGCCTTTTATGAAATCCTCCCTGAAAAGAAAACATGAAAAATAGACCTACATCCTGTAGAAACCAGGTCTCAGGTAATAACAGATTATTAAATAAATAACTGTCCTCACACTGATAGATTATATGATAACTGGAAGCTGAAATGTGCTGTACAGGGAACTACAGTTCACTTACAAGTGAGTGTTCTGAATTTTTCAGATAACTCAAAAAGTCTCCTAGTCACTAACATTCAAATCAGGGTTGAAGGACACTTTTGTATAGGCTGTGACTTCTTTCTTTAAACCATTTTCTTTCTGGAGCTCAGTGCTAACTTTTATATCATCAGTACTGAATAAGAGACTCCTCATCAGTGAATATTCAAGAGAATGAACATGAAATGTGCACCACACTACAATTAAAAGGTTTTCTAACCCCTCATTACCTCCTTTCCAGAGTGAGCCAAGTCACTTTTGTTCATTTGCAACCGAAGACTCCTGTGTCTGAGGATTAGGATCTCTTTTGCCTGTTCCTCTGTCCCAGTCTCTCCAGGAAGCGTGTGCCTGTTGTATGCTGGCACCTGCTCACATTCCACCAAAACATAGATGTTAAACTGAATGTATAAAACGCCTGCTATATTCAACATAAGATAACTCAAAGAAATCTCCATGAGGAATTATAAAAGCATCTTCCATATCCATGAAATGAGAAAGAGCTTGTTCCAGCTCTAACTGGAGTCAATGGGAATCTTTCTATCAGCTTTAATGGGGATTGGTTCAGCACCATATTTAGTACAAGTATCAATTTTTATGGCCAGATTCTGCTCTCACTAGTTCCAGTGTAAATGTGGAGTCTTTCCACTGTCTAGTTTGGATTTAGACTGGAGTTAGTAAAAACAGAAACCAGAGCTTGATTTTTCCCCATGTGCTTTTCCCATTCCCCAGAAGTCTTATCTTGTTGCCTCTCAGCTCAACAGAAAGACTAAAGGTGGTATTTGATCCCTCTGTGCTGAGATACCCACATTACCCACATCCCTAGTGATCTGGCATTTCATGCCTAATCCAAAATACAAAGGCTTAGTTAGACTTTAAGGATAAGGCTCCACATCTCACCATATGAGCAACTAATATAGCACAGTCATGCAATCTGTAAAAAAACCTAAGACAGAAAGCCAGAGATTATTCATGAGTTATTCTGCAAGCAGCAGGCATGTTTTATACATCCCAAGTGTATAAGCTTCATAGCAAAACTGCTGAGCGGCTTTAAAACGTTTTTCAATTAATTCCTACTAGTGGGTCACAGCTTTCTGTAGGCCAAAAACATTGCACACGAGAGAGACTGCTTGTAAACTCTACACACCTCCTGGGATACCAGGGGTTCTCTGTGGCCCCAGTTGTCCATTCTCTATCTACCAGGGTCCTTTATTCTCCCTTATGCCAAGGGCCCTCTGTGCCACCTTTGTTTCCCATTTTCCCCAATGTTCTTCCATTCCTCCTTCACTCTACATCCCCAAACAAGGCTTTTCTATTCCCCCAATGACCCCCAAGCTGGGGCTGTGTGCGCTATCATTCCCTTCATCCCTCATTCATCCCCCTTCCTCCCTGCAACCCCATTTTAATATTTTTTTCTCTGTGTCTTTCAGGTTGCCAACACTTTCAGTTGGATCAGGATCATGAGCAGAGCTAGGATGCGGGATTTTATGATAGAATGTGTTAACTGCAACTCCTAAGCAGTTCTTGTACCTACAGGCAATTGGAGAGATGCTTGAAGCTGCTGGCTGTGGTAAACAGATGCCTTGCTGCCCATATATTCCCTGTTTCCCCCTTTCTGTGCTGTATATTGATGCTAGAACATTTCCTGAAATTATCGAACCGTTTGGATGCAGCATTCAAAAGCCATGTTGTAAACAGAGCAGCAAAGAAGTGCCATTGAGTTGAGTGTTAGATCCCATTTCTCACAGCCAGTTCTCCTTATAGACAGCTCATTAATAGCATATCTAAATAATACTAACATCTGCACATGCTGCTGAGAAAGGCACTAATTGTACTGTACTGTCTGAATACCATATATCTCGAGTAAACAAAACCTTACCGTTCTTCTGATTTTGTACAGGTTCCTTGCCAATATTTTCTGTATATTTTCCAGTACATCTGAATTCAGGCCATCCACTATTTTGACCATTCCAGCAGACTTTCGGCTGTCACTGCAAAGAAAACACATAGGTTCTTCATTAATGCTTATCACAGGAGATAAGCTACAAAGTCCCTTAATAAAGTGGAGGTTACCATCAGCAGCTTGTTTGCCAAAGACAAAGAACAATATGGGGACTTTGGATAAGAGAACAGCAAGAACCAGTGGAAGAACAAAAATGTCTGGAGGAGATGGGATGAAAGCCTGTCATTTTAATGTTTTACCTAACTGCCCAGGCTTGCCATTGTTTTCTCCATAATGACTAAGTAATTGTACAGGTGCAAAACCAGCCTGTACCACACAAACAGGGTAAATGTTCATTGTTCAGGTACAATCTTAGGCAGTGATATGCACCCACACAGCACTGACAGGAGCTTTATTGCTGGGTAATTCAGTGATACTGGACACCAACTGCATTTTAATTTATTATCTTTCTGGGTGACACCAACCCTTCCTGTGGAGACAGAAAGCAAGAAGCAGAAGAGAGGAAACTTTGTAAGGTCTCCATGTAACTCTTCCCTGAAGTGGGATGGGCTTTGGGATGCAGCCTTCCAAGTCCATGGACCCAGAAGAACCACTAGTATGTTTTTTTCCCAGTGGATATTGGTCAGTCTATACTGGTATCTGGTCCCTTTGGCTGCTTACAGACATGAAGAAAAAAAAAGTGCTTTACTTTCAGCTCAGCATGCCCCCACGCCAAGCACAGTGCATGCCCAGAAGAGGCATTGTGTTGGTTTGACCTGGCTTGCCAAATGTCTGTATAGATCACGTGCTTCAGCAGGGCTTTTTGGCAATGTTATCTAATAGCTGATTGAATCAGCTTTAGATAAAAGCACCAAAAAGCCCCACTGAAGCACCTAATCTATACAGAAGTTGGGGAGCAAGGTTAAACTGACATGCTTCCTCTTCCAGTTAACTGCTGGATGGGGGCTCCATGTCTGTCACAGCCTTTGTCACTGAGCACAACTAAGCTGCTTGGTCAACCCAGATGTAGGCATCAGTGCTTTCAGATTTGATGTATGTGAGGTTGCATTTGGGTCCCTTCCCCATCTCCATGCTACAGCAATCTTTATTCCTTCACCATCCCTAGTAGGCAGCAGCCCAGGCAGATGGCAAAGCCAGTCTGGTGCCTCAGCTACTTGGAATCAACTGACAAACTGAATTTTAATTGGGGAAAGTGTTTTACTATAAAGTTAATTGTATAACCATCTTGTGTCAGGGAACTGGCTAGCACTTTCATCTTTTGAGAGCCCATTCATGTAGTGTGGACAATCCAAACATGTAGGGAATGAGTTTTGTCAGGAGTTTTTTTAACCACATTTTCCATTTGAGAAAAGTTTTTGTCATTTCCGTGTTCCCTGAGGGTACATTTGTGTTACCAGGAAATGAGCCCCACAGAATTCCCCAGCAGGGAATCCACCTCACATTAGCTTTTCTGAATTACTATGTGTGTCATTAGAGAGGGTTAGGAACATACTTACAGCAAAGATGCATGGGATGGTGTATGAATTAACTGGCCCGCTTCTACAAGCTCAATGGCATGTTTCCTCTCCAGCTTTTCATAGAGAAGCACAATACTTGATTTGGGCTGGCTGTACTCTCGGAGTAGGAACTTCTGCAAATACTTGCTGTTGAAGTACTCAAATCTGTCCAAGAACAAATAAGACAAAGCATAGGGTTGATTCACACATTATAGACTAACTAAATCAAAGATATATAGCATAAGCTTCCATGAGCCCAAGAGAAAACACTGTTGTGCTAACACCATCATGCTCTTTGGTTTGAACAGAGTTACAGAAATTCCCTTATATCTTTACTCCAAGACTCAGACCTAGTTTTAACAGATGAGCTTGTACTCCTTTAACTACGTGTTTTCCAGCAACTAATGGTTTAGGATACCTGTCCTGCCCAGTTTTCTGCCTGGGCATATCACAAATATAAGATTGGACACCATATTAATTCAATAGTGTAGCACATAGATTAAGTCAGTGGTGATCAACTCTGAGTGGCACAAGGCAATCTGCAGGCCAGACTGGACCCACAAGCCAGGATCTGGCCTGTATTGCCTCTGCCAAGCCCTGCATGCCCCCATACAGAAATCAGTCTGCAGGGCCTGTACTGCCCCACCCAGCCCTGCATGCCAGGATCAGGCCCTGTGCTGCCCTGAGCACCTGATGTAGCATTCAGGGCCACCCCTAGATTAAGTTATTTACAGTCCTCTGAATGCAATTTGTCATGTCATAAAATGCCTTCAAAGAGCCAAATCTATCTTAAAGTCCATCTGATACATCAGATCAAACAGACTTGAAAGAAATCAAGCCAGCAGCCTAAGCAGCTTCCAGAAGCCTCTCTCAATTCAGCTCCCTCTTCTGTCTGCTTAGACAGCTCTCATCGCAGTACTTGGAGCACATCTAGTTCACATTAGTTACTGGCACTTAGGCTTGGCTATTGTTTGGCCAACAGGAACATGCGCTACATTCAGGAGGATCCAATCCTGAATTTGTAAGTAGGCAACACTTTCAATACCCTCTAGTGGCTGTTCCAAATACAGTAAATCTCAGCAGAAAAAGAGTGTGTCAGACTGTTACCTAGAATCCTTACCAGAAAGGAAGGTATATCAGTGTTTGTACAATGAAATAATTAAATATGGTAGATCATTAGCAATGCACTTTAGGGTCTTTGTTTTCTTTTATAAAACCCAACTTCCCAAATGTGTACAAATCTACCAGTTTGTGATTTGTCCATTGACAGCAGCTTCCAAAGACTGTTCCAAACAACTTACCTTTCCTGCTATTTACAAGGTGGACATAGAAAAGCACTGTTTTCAGATTTGTGCTTCTTCACTGATCTAAACACAAGAATGACTAACAGCAGTAGCATTGACAGGGAAGAGGAGAGGTGGACAATGAAAGGGAAGGAGGAGCAAACTGAATTAAACCAGAAATGTAAAGAATAGCTGCAGGTTCAATAATATAACAGCAAATACCTGTAACATGAAGAAAAATAAATGATAAAAGGTAACAAATAATAGATTATGTACTGTTCCTGTTCTTTAAAGGAAACAGGTTTTTCCTTAGACTACAGAGATATTAATTGTTGTATCACTAGCATTGTTAAAGTAATGAAAATGTCCTTGTCTGCCCATGTCCCTTTTTTTAGAGTTGAGTTTGCTTATTTCTGAATGCTGGGCTGGACATCCCGTATCTTCTGCCTTTACCTTCAGCTGTCATTGTAAAAGGACTTCATGCTCCTCTACAAACCAATTAAAGCAGCATCAAAAAAAGAGAGAGGGAGACTCATAAAGGAATGAAAAACAAATTACTGGTAGTTCCCCAAACTCCCCATAATCCACAAAGTAGCATGTAAAGGACTGGGGCACATTCAATTTTATAAAAATGAAAGACTAATGGAAATAACCATACTGAAACAGATAATGCCAGAATGATCCCAACATTTCCAAGCTTAGCCATGTCTGTATGAGAATAAGTCATGTTGGCATCTTAGTCTTTAAACTGGGGTGCGCACAAGTTCCTCTTTGACACTTTTGCTATTGAAAATCAGAATGAATTCACTCTGCTATTTTGGTGCATCATTCCAACTTTGCCCCAGCAGGATATCAAAGGCCCAGATGGTACTAGCACTTTCCTAGTGTTCCTGCTATACCTAACCAGCAGTAAGAGAATCAGCACACCCTGGCAAAAAATATGGTGTCTGGAAAACGTGAGGTTCAGCTCTTTCAAGCTGTACTATTGTGCTTCCTGTTATATGTAGGAGCAACTTTAACTTAAATCTGTCCAGATAAGCATGTACATATTTGCAGGGCTAGGGCCCCAATCAGCACCACAAAGAAACAAGCTGCTGGAACGATCACTGAAGCAACAAGTGCTGTGCATGGTGCTGGCATGACAACTCTTGTAAGCCTTTCATTTAAAGCATTTCAGAGTCTGCTTTGATGGGGAGGGGGAGCTAAGGTTTTTGGGATAAGGGTTTTGGGAAGAGAACAAAGGAATCCTCTTCAGTGCTGTAGTATGTGTGACATTCAGAGGAGGGAGGAGAGAATCGTCATGGAGGAAGGGGGATGGTCTGTTCTGACTTGGTGCCCAGACAAGCTGGTTACATCTTCCCTGCTTGAAAAAAGAAAGGAGAAGCTGCCCTCTCTTTGTTTGCAACTGTCATCTGCTTTATGACACATGGATGGATGAAGCTCAGCAATCCCCAGTGGAAACTTATGGAAACAGAAACCAGGCTCATTTTTTTCTACACATGTACACAGTTGTATTTTTGGCAAATCCTTACTTGTCTTTCCAGTAATACTGTCCCCAGTGTCCACATATATCTTCTATGCCAGCCAGCAAATGATCCAAGAACTAAACAGAAGAGAGGATTTTGCTATACACTGGTGTATTATTGCATACATGATGAACTCTGTTAGATTACATCAAAAACCAGCAGACAAAATGTGAGACATTTTTAGCTAGGTACACAGATCCAGTGAACAAGGACAGGAGCCATCTGTGTAAATTCCCCGTTCAATTATACATGCATATTCTTTGGTTCTAGAGTACAATGAGTGATTTGCTTCTCTCTTTCAGTTCTGTGAAAACAAAGACTAATCACTGAGGGACATGGATCTGTTCCTTATGATACATGCAGGATGGCCAACGGCTTGTATGTTCTGCATATTGGGGCTTGATAAACACTGAAAGCTCCTACCACCATGGTTTGAAGGCAACTTATCTCAGGAGAAAGATGCCTTTAATTCACAGCTGGTAGCTGGGGCTTCTCTTGAATAATAAATTCTCCCCTGTCCCAGAGCCAGTCCACATTTCTGTATGAAAGATCCTGAACAGGTTTATTTACAAAGCTTAACACACATTCAAAGTCTTTGGAACTTTCCAAATTGCCTCCCTAGCTGCTGTCATCAATAGACAGGCAGCAGATTCTGCTATGCTACTGTTCATTACGTCATCAGCCACCTGGACCTAAGCTCTCAGAAGCTTCCTCCCATTCTAGTTAGAGAAATCTACTTTTGCAATTAGAGATATTCTAAGTTTCCAATGTGTATAGAGTTGAGAATGTGAGCATACTCTCTAAATCCAGCTTTCCTCATACTTTGATTCTCCTGAATACCACAACCCATGATAACCCATGAATACCAGCTACCATGATTTCAGAAATACTATCCTAAGACTTGGTGGGGCTTTTCCATCAGGTTAACTCCTTTGAGCTAATGTGACTGAAGAAAAAACACACTCTTTTTGCCTGTCAAAACAGGTCCTTCAGAGGTGGCTTGAAAGAGGGATGTTCACAAAACGTAATGCTACAGAAATTTGCCTTCTCGTCTCTCTCCTAAGATTCTGTTTTCCATCTTTCCAGCAGTAGGAAATACTAAGAAGATTAATTGTTCTTAGTCTTTTAAGCAGAAGTTTGTTTGAGTAATAAATGTTTGACAGATACCTGCCCTGCCATGTAGGAATAAATGAAACAGCTGAATTATTTACCCACTGAGTCTTAGTGGATGTCCATTTCTGGCCCATCTTTACACTTTATATATTTAAATCAGGATGGATCAGAACCACAAATCACTGACAGGAGGCTCTTTCTTATTGTTATATTTGTACAGTACCAGCAGTGTGTTTCTGATAGGCCCAGGAAATATCTACACTGCTAATCCAGAGAGAACGTCATGCTAATGTCTCAGGAATGGACAATCTATTTTGTGAGTCAATTAAAACAGCTTAGCAATATGAAGGGTGAGAGGAAATATGATTAATTCCTCTTTGTAAACACATTCACAGGGTAAATATCAGGGAGGAGGAAGAGTTATTTATATTAACAATATTGGCACAAGATCAAACAGATTCAAACATATCGCAAACAAAATTATACTGGAAATTAAAAGGAGTGAAGCTTGGAATGGTGCTTGCAATGGGAGCAAGGAACATGGAAATGCTTCAAGGTGGAGCCTGACAAGTTTATGAAGGGGATTACATGGTAAAATAGAGTTGTTCTTAAGCTAGTAATCTGCAGTGGACCTGGGCATACCATGCAGGAGAGTGGGGAGTCATGGCAGGGGGGTGGAATGGGTCTAAGAGCCAGGGAGGGAGGTGAACAGGGGTTTGAAGAGCTTGGGGAGGAAGTGCCATGCAAGAATCTTACCCTGGCTGCTGCTATCACTGCATGCTCTGCCCGCTCTGGTTCTTGCTCTTAAAGCAGTATCACTGTAATGTCTGTGCACCAGCTGCTGCTTCAAGAGAAATGCTGTAGAGTAGGGCTGTGTGATGCTTCGGTCCCTGATTCGATTTGGTGGAAATTTGACCCGATTCGTTGCCCAAATCTCTGAATCCAAATCGAATCAGAGAACCCTTTCATCTCTCCAAATCGGAGCCATCAGAGAGATTTGGAAAGATTTGGAAATTTGGACATAGACACACCTTTAAATGTTTTTTTCTACATATCTTGAGGTAGCAAGAGCTTGTGAGTGCTGCGATGTTGGGGTGCATGGAGTGACCCACAGGAGCGTGGGGGGCTCCCCAGCGCACTCAGCAGCAGACCTGGAAGTGGACCAGAAGTACTTCCAGTCCACTTCCGGGTCCACCAGGGAGCATGCTGGGGGGCCGCCCCACACCCCCCCAGCTCAGCGACTAGTGCCTCCTGGGTTCGGGGAGCACCCAGGGTCCCCCTGTGGCCAATCGCTGAGCCAGGGAGATGCGCGGGTCCCCCCTGAGCACTCCCTGGCAGACCCGGAAGTAGACTGGAAGTACTTCCAGTCCACTTCCAGGTTCGCTACCAAGCACATAGAGGGCCCCCTGCACTCCTGTGGGATGCTCCATGCGCCCCAGGATCGCAGTGCTCACAAGCCACGCTGGTACCTTGAGGTATGTAGAAAAAACATTTAAAGCTGTGTCTGCGTCCAAATCGCTGATTCTCCAAATCAGCATCAAATCCTCAGATTTGGATTCAGCCAAATCGAATCAGGGACAGTGATCCAAATCAACTAATTGAATCACTATCCCTGATTCAGGCCGAATCTGAATCAAATAGGACCCATTTCGCACACCCCTACTGTAGAGTTGTTCTTGCTGAAGGCGCACAGACTCCACAGGGATGGGGGACAATTTTGATGCCCTCCAAGTTGGCTGATGTCCCTCTCACTCACCCCTAGTTATATAATACTGATAATCAGCACAAATTATATCTGAATTCAAGTGTCTGGTATCTACAGGATTAGGCTAAAAAAGGCAACTGTATCTCATTGCCTGTAGGGGGCAGAAAGTAATGCATTATTCTGGGATTCATTTTTTTTCGTTGTCCTCTGAAGCCTTGGACACTAGCTACAGCTAAATACGGGAGTGTGGCTGGGATGTGCTAGTCAGTGCTTTTCAACCACTGTGCCATGGCACACCAGTGAGCCACAGAGAGCTCCCTGTTATGTTCCAAGAATCTTGGAATAATGGGAAGAAAGTTCTCCAGGCATCTAGCACTAATGAATAAGCCACGCTGATGAGATATTCACAGAAGACTTGCACGTGTGTTGGCTGTAGGGGAGAGAGAGAACTAAACAAGCAGAAGGAAATTCATCTACTGCGCATGTGTTGGCTGTGGGGGATGCACAGTTCATGAGCCTCTGAACAGCTGTGCCACAGAATTTTGTTGCAGCAATGAGTTACAATGAGCTTATAACTATGGGGATGGGGAATCCATTAACAGGTATGCCACGGAAAATTTTTACTAATGTAAGCATGCCTTGGGGTGGAAAAGGTTGGGAAACACTGTGCTAGTGCTTCTAATGGTATTTAAAAACCGTTCAATGCACGGAGATCACCAGTCCCTCACAGCAGCAGACTGGCATAGCTACTTATGTTGATGGGTATCTACAGTGGGCCCATTTCCATTCTATCCTTGGCAAAAGTTCTGGTTACATGAGGGCTGCAAAATTAGCCCATTATTTGTGATGCTATGAATGCAAATATTTAGTTTAAAAATCCTAGGCCATATTTTTCCATCAGAATGGGAAAGGGATCTCAGACTGCACATTACAATTATCTCCACTAAAGAAATAAATTAAAGGAAGAAAACTGCCTCTGGGTTCCTGAGTGTTTGCTCTCTAACTACCTGCATTGTTACCTTGTCTACTTAACTTAATTGGTACACAGCAGTTTTCAGCTAACATTACCCAATAAACACATCTTCAATAATGATTTACTATTCACACACTAACAAAAGAAGAAAAGTATTTCCTGTTTGCTATAGGAAAAAACCTCTTCAGCCTATTCAACTATTTCATTAACCTTAGACAAAGCCCCGTAATACATACTAATTGTGAGGACGTCAAGCATTTGCTCAACCTACCAGTGCTCTCAGACCTAGCACCTTTATTTTTGTTAGTTAAAGAGAATAGAAATATTCCCTTGAAATTAGCACTCAGTTGAAAAATGCTTTACCACTAAAAACATTCTATTTATAACCCATACTTTACCCTTGACAAAATGTTTCAAGGGACTCCATCTGTTTTAAAACTGCACTGCCACAATACCAACTATTGCTACAAGTAACTCTTCCAATTAAAAGAACCAGAAGTGATGAGAGACAAAACTAAACCTTTCCAGTTTGCTCCCTCCTTGTGTTTGGCAGCCCTTGGGCGTACTGTACAGTCACCTTAGCTGTTTCCTCTACACAATCATTTTCCCTTTTGTTTAATGTGTGCCTGTAAGCCCTAAACATTGGCAATGGGAATCAGAAACTGCCATTACTGTCAATGTCCAATTAAATGTTTTGAAGTCCTATTTGTCTTGATATGTAAAGTGCAGTGGGCTAGACAGTGACCCAAGCACTGGTTCCTCTGCACTGCTGCACTGGTATAAATCAGCCTTGAAGCTTACCCTTGGCAACCTGGTATCCCCACTTGGCACAATGAAGGTAACCAGCTCTATGTCCCTTCTGTCTGGCACTTAAGGTATAACAGCATATCAGAGGTGCAAAGGAGTTTCCCCATGACACCCTGCATTCCACTTATCTCTAGTTGTCCACCTTAACCTCCCAAAATTACCCACAGCTGTATTCAGTTGAAAACTGGTCCAACTGAGGATCTAGCCCAGCATGTCCTGCAGGCAGTGTGGTGCAGCAGATAAAGTCACAGTCCTGCAAATGTGAAGTCAGGAGTTCTATTACTGAATTTGGCATTGACCTACTCCATGACCTTGAGCAAATCACTTTGCCTTCCTGTCCTGTTCAAGTGACTGTTTAAAAGTGATTTCTATCTGTAGTTCTAAGGCTTTCAGCTACTGCATTTGACATAACATCTGATCTGCTAAAGCTGATAGACACTAAAAAGTTTTCCAATTACATCAAGGCTATATAGGTCGCCATAGAAATGAATGATATTTTGACTTGGAGAAGAAGTGAGCCAAGGCAACTACATTAATTTAGTTTAGAACCCTGTACCAGTGTGTTAGGGAAACCAAATCTTGTTTTTCATGTCTGATAATCCTTGCAATTCAACACCACAAAAATTAACATCCAGTTAACTTTAACTAAGTATTTACAGCCCCGTCTTCCTCCGGATGCATATGTATGTGGCCTCAGTCCCACTTAACACAGGGGCAGGACATGGAAGACCACTGCAGAGCACGCTTTCTTTGTGTCAGGTATATCCTTATCCCCAGGACTAGGTTTGATAGTTTTTACTTGTGGAGCTTGCATAAAGTGGGAGTTTTTTCATTGACTTCAATGCACTTTGTGTCTTGGCCATGGATAAGTGTAGTCAAATTGCATTGCTAGATAAGCAGGCCTCCTGGCACAGAATCAGGATGCTTGGGCTATGTTTCCAGAGTTGAACCACTTACCCGCATGTGAATCTGTTCTCCAACAGTGGGGGCACTTTCTCTTTTCCTCTTGACATCTAATAATTCCACAAGGGGACGGATGGTCATTCCCTGCAGCATAATAACGCATAACAGAGAAATCAGAGTCTCTTCATATCAAATCAGTAGGTTTTGTAATTCTACATCTTCCTCCGCACAGAATTATGGGTGTCAATGCTAAATGAGTGGAACGACCCAGTTTTTGCTGCACTGAGTATGGACTTGTTTCCAGGGAGAGAAGTCCCTCTTTCAACCAGTCTCTGCTAAGCATTCTTTCATCAGAAAAGGAAGCTATGCAAAGACAATGACAATTTAACAACTCATTTATCATCCACATTCTCTATTTGGTAACAGACAAGTCATGTTAATAACTGAGTCTCATCAATGGGAAGTCAGACATTTGTGGATCTTAAGCCCAAAGGGACCATTATAACCACTCAACCTGACCACCTGCATAGCAGAGGTGACAGATCTTCAACTGGCAGTTTCTGCATTAAGCCTGCAACTTTTGTTTTATAGAAGGAGCTTATATTTAAATACATTAATTGATGATGATATGCAGCACCCTGAAGAAGGTACTTGGTACCCTGCTGAGTACATTTCAAGATTTTCCTAAAATGAAGCAGATCCTCTGTTTCTTGATTTCTAGTTTAGAATATCATACATTAGAACTCATTACCCAGAGAGTCTGATTTTTCTGCCAGTACAGTAAGCTGATTAATCAATGTATCCAACTGGTAAAAGGTGGGAAAAGTTTTTCATCTGCCTCTTGACTAAGATAAGTTTGAAGGTGATGCTTTGATGGTAATATATTCTATTTTTTTAAACCTGCCACTTCATTAAATGACTTTTCTAAGAGAAGTTCACAGCAGAAATGCTACAGTAGCTGGTGTTCATGGCTCTTAAGTGTCACAAGAGTTGGCACAGAAGACAACCGAAAAATCTTTTTAATTGTGAGAAAATTAATGTTTCATTTTAATTACTAATATCAGTACAGAACTCATCAACATTCAATGTAAATAATATACATTTTACTCATTTAGAAATGGCACTTTGCAAATAAGGCAGCGCCTATGTAATTTGGACTCTTGTCTTTCCCTTGGGCTTGTTTTCATTTTAAAGTGACAGTCTGGAGTTTTGTCACCAAGACTCTTAACTTCACACGCATGCAAACACACACACACAGGGGGAGAGAGAGAGAGAGAGAGAGAGATAGTTCATTGGCTCTCATCCTGAGCCTTGTTTTGTTTTAGGTAAGGGGACCATTGGACTTATATAGGGGTGGGAAAACTCCTGCACCCTCTGGGCACAACTTGCCAGCTTGAGGCTTTAATTCAGGCTGTAACCTGACCCATGTGTATAATACATTATTGGTGTTGATCCAGTAGCTAGTGAACAAATATCTACAGTTCACACACACAAACACCTACACAAAAAACCTTCACAATTGTTATCTTTGTTAGCAGTTTTACCGGGGAGGTCACGGTCTGAATAGGCAAAGAGATTGAACTATAAATGGAGAACATGGCATTTAGTTTTTAAATTACATTGAAAAAAGAGAACAATGAAGCTCTTTGGAGGCATTCAAGACAAACCAAAGTCTTTTGAGGGCTTACGGGTGAAATGCCATACATCCAGGCCAGTCTGGATGCTGTTAGAATGTGTCGATTGCTTAATAAACTTTCACAAAACTATTGATCAGTCTAGTTCTGTCATGTAGGACTGGTGAGAATACTTATGTAATAGGTCAACAATGACCAAAATAAACTGGGTTATATAATGCATAGATATAAACATGTAGAGATAAGCCTAATTGCTTACATGCTTGGTCATTTTTGTGCCCGATACAAGCACTGCCAGATACATGCTGGGACTTCCAAGACAACAAAGTAGATCTGTGCTCTTGCAGCTGCTTGCATATTCCCACACCCCTAAGCACCTGCATAAGGGCCAAGGACAGTCTGCCCTACTGTTGGCTTGTTTTCACTCAGACAAGCTCTCCTCAGGTCAAAATCTGTTCCATTCCAAAAGTGTAGGCTCACTAGTTTAAGCAAAAATCATTGTTCCCCACACAAATAAAAAGCAGCAACAATAAGAGCTGGACACTAATATGGGGCAAATCCTTTGTTTCTTCTCATTTACTTCATAGGTAAAAATGCACCATGAAGAATGCATGGATACTGAAGTAATCATTCTGGGCTCATCCTGCACCCAGTGTAAATAGAAATATTCCCTTTGGCTTTCCAATGGCTGATTTTTAAAGCCTTCCTTCAATATTTGTATCTATTATTTTGATATGCCTTTTCTGTGTCAAAGCACATCATGCGATTGTTTTAAGCAAGTTTAAATATTTCTGGCTCTGGAGGTTGTCCTGGCTACATGATGCAATAGGTATCCAGAATGTGAATCAAGTTAGTCTTTAAAAACACTAAGTTTCCACTGAATAACTCAAGGTCACAGGGTCATTCTTCTGACACACACCCACAAGGAATTCTGTTTAACTCTCACCCTTTTGCATGGAGATGACATCACTGTTTGAGCCCCGAGGTTACACAAAAGCGCTTTCGCAGTCCTGAGAATTATTTTACGATGCACCCATGGAATGGAAGCGCTGCCTTAGAACAACCTTTGTCTGCGACTCAGAGGGCTCTGCATGAGCGGACCTGCCGAGTGACCGGATCTTTTCAATTTCTGACCCACATTTGCATCTTAAAACTTGTCAACCTGCATGTAACTACCCTTTCCCCGCCACTAGCCTATGCTCATGCCAATCAGCCTGCCACAGAGAACTGAAAATGATGCTTTTCAGTAGAAGTACAAATCCAGCTGCCTGTAAGACTCATTCCTAGGCCCAGGCCCAGGCCCAATGGCATATCCTACTCATAACTATATTTGCTCAGCTTGTAGTACATAATAGGAAGATGTAAAGAAGTCTTCTGTATGGGGCTAATTGTAAAAATAAAGCATCTGAGTGTGAATCACTATGCCTGTGCACAGACTAATTTGTGGGCAGTGAGCTGCAGAGTCCTGTAGGAAATAAGTAAAGTGAAAGCAATTCTCTCCCCAAGAATGTGGAGCAGGCATGAGGCCCATATGCACCTGTGGCTGTAGCCTCAAAACTTCACAGGCCCCAGCTGCTGTATCATACACAAATGGGAGGTGGTGAAAGGGAGAAGGACAGATATTGAATCACTGAATGGACCTTATGCATTTGGATGCAATAAAGTCTCTGGAAGCTACTCTAATTAGAGCCATCCTTTATACCGGCTTTAAATCTTGCCCAGTCTACATCCACATCGTAGAAGTGGACCACACCTGGGAGAAGTCAGGCACATTTGGACAACTCTATATTCTTATCGTAAACAAGAATATCAGCCTTTATTTCACACAAACATTTGTCTATATATAAAAGGCCCCTAACCCCGAACCTTTATAAAAACAGGTCAGTTTTAGGAGGCTTAAGTCTTGGTAATTCCTTAAGCAGAGAACCCCTAATTTGTACCACTAACTCTACTTCAGGCTGTGATCTGACATACCTAGTTTCAAGATAAGCTAAATAAGCATGCACATTTCAGAGAAGGCTGAAAACTGAGATTTAAACAGTAATCCAGTTGCAACTATTAACTTGCTATTGGTGCAGCATAATTCTAGCAAAAGGCTGATAGAATCAGGTCCAAAATCTTTTAGCAACCTAGAAGCTTCTAGGAATATTATCCACTAGATGGCACCATAATGCCAAGCCATGTTCTTCCTGCACATCCTTTTTTGTGAGGGGCATGTACTTTCCACAAGCAAAATAGGTTTTGCAAATCTCAGTCGGAACTAAAATTAAGAGGGAACGTATCAGAAGGGGAACTTAGGAATGTCAGTTACTCTTTTATCCCCTGTGAAACACTGAATGGATTTATTTTGGAGGAGGGCTTAACTTGAGGTGTATTTTACACTATAAATATGCACACAGTAGGACACCAGGGGCATTTTCAGGGAGTGTTTTTACACATGGTCCAAGGGTGGGAGGGGAGCACTTTAATTAGAGTGCCTCTCAGAGCCGCTCTAATTAAAGTGCCTGCAGTATCTCATGTATCAGTATCCCTGCATTTCAAAATGGCAACGGAGATGCTTTAACTAAAGCTATTCAAACAAGCTTTAGTTAAAGCACTCCCACCACCATTTTGAAGCATGGGGACACTAATACACGAGGTGCAGAGGCTAACTGGAGCACGCTAATTAGCATACTCTAGCAGATTCAATTAATTGAGTAATTACAGCGCATCGGAGAAGCCTTCCAACATGTCTACAGGCACCCCAGAGGTGTTTAAACTTCTTGGTCTGATAGCAAATTCAAGAACTGTTTTTTGCTTTGGTTTTTATTCTGTTTTATGTAAAAAATGTAGAGGCCTCACTTTAAAAGGGGAAGCTACACTACCTGCTCACCCATCATATTTTAGCCATTGCTTCTATGGATAGAACTGCACCAATGAAAGATGGGGCACACCAGCAGGGAGACACAAGTGTAGGCTCACTAGTTTTATTCTTGAATATATTCCAGGACTTGAGGGCTCGGATAGTAAAGAAGTTTTTTCCTTATGTCCAGCCTAAAACGGTCTTCCAGGAGTTTGTGGCTGTTGGACCTTGTCATCCCTTGGGGCACTCTGGTGAACAGGCGTTCCCCCAGATCCTGATGCACACCGCTTATGTACTTATAGGCTACCACCAAGCACCCCTGAGCCTGCACTTCTCCAGGCTAAAGAGTCTCATAGCTCGCAGCCTGTCTTCATAAGGCATGCTCTCTTGCTCTCTGATCATGAACATGGCTATCCTCTGAACTCTTTCAAGCTTCTCCACATCCTTTCTGAATTGTGGAGCCCAGAATTGTAAGCAGTACTCCAGCTGTGGCCTCACCAAGGCCAAGTACAGCGGGAGGATGACATCCTGGGTCTTGCTTGAGATGCATCGGTAGATGCAAGCCAGAGTTTTGTTCACTTTGCTGGCTGCAGTAAATGCAGGGGACTGAACTTGATCACCTGTGAAGCCCCTTCTGGTCCTTTATTCCTATATTCAATGCTTGTTCCCATTAGACTTCACACCCAATCTAAAAACTGTCAGCCATTTATCTGAAATAAAACACTGTCATGAACCAGGTAATAATTACACTGACATAGGTATTCTAACATATTGATAGCAGTTGTACCTGTACAAACACAGTGAAGAGAATGATGACTGTTGTTGCTGCGATGAAGAGCTTTTTTCTAGGAAAGTCAGGGAGCAAGAAAACCAGAGAGAAACATATTGCACCTCTGAGACCTCCGTATGCTATAATAAATTGGTCCTTGCTAGTAACAGTGTTCACATGTAATCTGTTCACAAAAAAAGTCAACACAAGAACCCCTAAAAAGCAGGAAACAAAAAGGGAAATTAGTAAACAGAAAGAAACCACAGTCATAATGGTAGGAAATATTTTTGGACAAATAGTTATTACAATGGGAACAACTTATAAATCAGTCCAAACTGTGCAGAGAAGAATTCGTCAATATACTATATACCAGATTCCTTCAGTGGTCTGAGTCACGGGACTGATGTTCACCGTGTCTTGTATGGGTCCCAGTATAACTAAAAAGCTGGACTCAATTACTCCCAACTTGGAAAAGACAGGAGATAGAAATGATTGGCCACCATTTAGTGGGCATGACGTAACAATAAGATTTTAAACTTCTAACACTATAGTAATTTCTCTGTTGGCCACTCTAAACATTGCATATTGTTCTGACCTATTCTAGAAACTGGGGTTTTGTAGAACAAAGTTAAACTACAAAGACAAGCTGACTATGTGGCTTATGTTCATTACAAGTTCCCTTGAACTGCTTTAGCTTTAAGCTATAGTTAAGGCACTCTAAACATTTCATATGTTTTCTAACTGCATTAACTTTGCTGTATATTCTAAAGTCCTTAATTCATAAAGATGTATATAGTGTGAACTTTAGGCTGTGGAAGATGTCACAGAAATCAATGCCGTTTATAATTATTTGCAAAGAAACAAGCTAAAAAGTGCAGTAGATCAAATCATGGAGCCATTAATATTACAATATTCCCTTCACAAATACTGTGTAAGAAATGTGCATGTGTATCTTAATTCCTAAGGTTTGAAATGCCTAATATCATTAAGCCAGGCATTACTCAAGTGAAGCCAACCAAACTTCTATAAACGGGATCAAAAACAGGCTCTTAAAGTTTGAAATGGTGACTATAATTAATTAATAACAATTCAGGACATAGGCATTTCCTTTTCAAAGATTAATGGCTTCTTTGAGAACTGATGACATAAGAATGTCATTGACGTCTGCTGGTAATTTAACTAGACCAATATTATTACTTTTTAATGCTTTTTTAAATGGTGTTTTAAAACCCTAAACCAATTTATTTGTTATATAATAAGCTTTAAAAACCATGCATATGCAATACCTATCCAGACACCTACATCCTTTTTACAACTAAGAATAATCAATTCCCATCACACAGAAAAAACAGTTTAAAAAAGAAATCTTGGGGTCTTCAGGAATAGTGAACTCAATTAACTTAACACTCTGGCAGTGGTGCATTCCCAGTTCTAGGAGCACTACGGTATTAATGCCAAGAAAAGCAGGTGATGATGAGAACTCCTGTTTCCAAATGGAGTCTTCCATCTAGCTGACAATAACATTTTTAGTTCAAACTAATGCCGCATTTCACAAGTAGAGATGAGCCAAATGAAGCTAGTCATTTACAATCAAATTAACTTCAAGTGCTACCATTAAGTAGGAGTGGTTGGTAACAGAACTATTTCTTAGGTCATAGAAAGTGTAGACCTTGCACCAGATCTGTATTTGGTTTAATGGGTGCAGCTCTATTAATTTTAAAGGAACTATGTTTATAACAGCTGCACATCTCAGCTTTGTGTTCCTTTACTCCTTCCATCCTCAACTCCTTTATGGTTTTTAAGCTACCTCAAGACTTGTCGGTTTGTAGCAGTGACACGATTAATCATTTTGGCCAAAATATTTTTTCTCTGGGAGATACACTGTGGCAAAAAGAAGACAGTTTCTTTATTCTTTAGATGATGCTTGAGTCCTGGTGGTGTGACACCACTCTATACACCTCCTGGGACTGATGTTTCTCTCACTCTGCGGGCTTCAAAGGATTTGGTTCTGATTTAACCCAGTGTAAGCAAGGATAGATTCAGGATCTACTGCTATGTCCTGGCACCTGATGCATGAAGGCCACCTGTTCCAATAGCAGTAAACATTTTTCATCATAAAGACCTTTTTTCAAGAGCTTTATTCTCAGTTTAGGGCCTTTGAGCTGCAAGAAAAAACACTAGTACATGTTCTGAAGCTGTAAGTGAAAGGGGCCAATGCAGGCTACAAGATATCCAAGCCCTTCATCTTCTAATAAGGGACATGGGAAAAGTGAGATTTAGGTAGAATTTAGGCACCTCACTCCAGACATGCAATCATAAACGCTGCATGCCCCCAGCAGCTGGGAGGGCACGGCGGCACTGGTGGCAGTGGAACGACGGCAGCACAGCGGCGGCTCCCGCAGACATCACCGGCGCTGTCGGAGTGGGGGGGAGTGCCAACCACTGGTTTTTCATAGGGGGTGCACCATCACACTCAGGGGGTGCACATGCACCCGCGTGCACCCCCTACTCATCGCCAATGCATGCAATCCTAACTCCTTCCCTCCACACACAGCTGCCGCCTAGACCTGAAGACACTTAAAGTCTGTGGACAACTAACTTTTTTACTTCAAAGTTCCTTTGGTACCGAGAGTCCTGCCTCTGCACAGGCCCACCACTGCCCCAGTCTGAGAACTGCTTGGGATCCAGAAACCAGGTGTCCCTTTGCCTAAGCTCCCTCAGGGGCCCAATCTCAGAAGTGCTCTCACACAGATCTACTAAAGTAGTTCTCCACTTTGTTAGACTTGAGGCACCCCTTGGAAACAGCCAGCTCTGAGTTTTCACTACAGAAAAAAAAAATAGTTTTCACTCATTTTCACTTGTTTTGTTTCTACAGTGAGTTGTTTCTCACTCTGAGTTTTCACTCGTTTTTTTACTACTGAAAAAAATAGACCAATTTTTTGTCACAAAGAACTTAGAAAGATCATAACCACAGATTTCTATTTGAAATCTCTGAGTTTATCTTATGAATTATGTTTCCACACCTAACAGTGCTAATTTGCATAGCATCCTGCAACACCCTTGAGAGGATCTCAAGGTATTCCAAGGTGCTGCGGCACCCTAGTTGAGAATCACTGGTCTAACACATCCCTCCCAAAGGATTGGGCTTCTCACAAAATGAAGTGGCGGGGTTACTGCTTTCCCTCCCTGCTCCAATAATTCTTTCTGTATTTTACATTACATATTGCTTTGATAAAATGTGTGTGGATTCCTTGGACCAGAGACCAGAAACCAGGTCTCTCCCCTTCTGACTGCCCAAAGCATTAGACTAAGGAGCCAAGCACCCTTTTGTGCTCTCTCCCTGCCCCAATGAACCTTGGATTCTTTTTTGGACAATTTCAGCAGCACGACAGAAAGCGGTGCTTGCTCTGTCATGCCCAAAATAGCCCATGGAGCTGTGGGTCTAAGCATGAACGATGCGTGCTCCCCGAGGCTGGCAGGGCACAGCAACTATTCGCAGGCAGCGGCAGTGGTGGCAGTGGCAGGGGCATGGTGGCAGCGAGCGGGGAGCTCCCGCAGGCGGCCGCAGCAATGGCAGCAGGAGGTGGTGAGCACTGACCAGTGGTTGGCAACAACCTGCAGATGTCACCAGCAGCGGCAGCCAGGGGTGATCAGGGACCGCCTGCAGATGCCACTGGCAGTGTCAGCGGGGAAGTGGGGGTGGTGAGCGGCGACTGCTCGCAGGAGCTGCCAGTAGCATCGGCAGCACTTCTGTCAGGGGGTGCACCGCCAATCTCAGGGAGTGCACATGCACCCGCGTGCACCCCCTATGCATTGCCAATGTCTCTAAGAGATGGGTATGGTGGTTTTGAACCCCCACAGGATGGTGAGGAAATTCAACCTGAATGGGAACAGTCCTTCCTCTTCTCATTGTACTTGAGAAGAAAAGCCTGAACCTTGCTTAGGTAAAAGACACTCCCATCCTCCGAGTACCCCTGCTGGTATGCTGATTTTAGACAGCGTGCTGTCTGTCTCCGATCACATTCAGAAGTCCCTAAGTCCCCACATTCACTTTATAGTTTGAGGTTCACAAGGGAACCAAAGCCCTGAGGTAAGTGCGGAAGCAGAAGACCTGAAGGAAGTACAAGGAGGAAGGGGAAACAGGAGGTTTCTTCATTCTTACTGAAAAAGTAGGGCAATTGGCTAGTTACCTCAGGTGTCTGTACATGAATGCATGGAGCCTGGGAAACAAACAGAAAGAATTGGAAGTCCTCGCATAGTCAAGGAAGTATCATGCAACTGGAATAAAAGAAACTTGGTGGGATAGCTCGCATGACTGGAGCACCGACATGGATTGGTACAAACTGTTCAGGAAGGACAGGCAGGGGAGAAGAGGAGGAGGAGTTGTATTTTACATAAAAGAGCTGTATGCTTTCTCAGAGCTCTAGTGTGAAACTGGAGATAGGGCTGTTGAAAGTCTCTGTGTTAGGGTCAGAGAGAAGAGCAACAAAAGTGATGTTGTAGTGGGAGTCTGCTGTAGACCACCAACTAGGAGGATGCAGTAGATAAGGCTTTCTTCAGACAACTAGTGGAAGTTTCCAGAAAATAGTCCCTGGTTCTCATGGGGGATCTTCAATCACCCTGACATCTGCTGAGACAGCAATACCACAGTGCGCAGGCAACCCAAGAAGTTTTTGGAGAGAGTTAGAGACAACTTCCTAGTGCAAATGTTGGAGAGACCAACTAGGGGCCATGCTCTTCTTGACCTGCTGCTCACAAACAGGGAAGAATTGGCGGGGGATGCAGAAGTGAATGGTAACTTGGGCAGCAGTGACCATGAGATGATGTAGTTCAGGATCCTGAAAAAATGAAGAAAGGAGAGCAGCAAAGTAGGGACCCTGGACTTCAGAAAAGCAGACTTTTACTCCCGCAGGGAACTGATGGGCAGGATCCCCTGGGAAGCCAGTCTAAGGGGGAAAGGAGTCCAGAAGAGGTGGGTGTATTTTAAAGAAACCTTAATAAGGGCTCAGGAACAAACCATCCTGATACACAGGAAGAGTAGCAAATATGGTAGGTGACCAGCTTGGCTTAGCAGGGAACTCTTCAGTGAGCTTAAACACAAAAGCAAGCTTACAAGAAGTGGAAACTTGGACAAATGCCTAGGGAGGAGTATAAGAATATTGTCTGGGCATGCAAGGCAATCAGGAAGGCATGCAAGGAAATCAGGAAGGCCAAA